CTCCTGCATGTAGAGAAGTCATCCGAGCAATACGACCGGCCAGCACACTCGCCTTAGACCACATCCGGGCAGTTAAGTGTGTCCACAGTCCAGGGACAGAATGGATACGAGGCTGGCATTTATCTGGGCTCAGGTGGGACAAGGGTGTGCTGAAAAGTCTGTAGTTAAGGAAAACTTCATGGATATTCCTTTCAAGCTGCAAGCGCCTAGAACATCAGATAGTGTACAGTGAGGGAGACAGAGGTTCAAAGCCATGTCTGCTCAAGGGTAGAGGGAGTTTCAGGTCATCCCCGGCAAGGCAGCTGGCTTCCTCTTGCCCTGAACCAAGAGTGGGGTCACAATCAATAAGCCCCCCTTTCCTCTTCCCAGGTGCTGCCCCCTACCTGAAGACCAAGTTTATCTGTGTGACACCGTAAGTGGCTTCCTTTCCTGAGTTTGCCTTCATTTCTAATGTCCTCAGTTACTCCCCGGGAATGGGACACTGGGTGAGAGTTACCCTGCAAAGGGTTGGAAGGCCCTGGGCTGTGTTTAGTACTCAAAGTGACCCTGTGTGTTTAAAAAGCTTGAGCTTTTATTTTTCTGTTGGAGACCAGAGTTTGATGGCTTGTGTGTGTGTGTTTTGTTCTTTTTTTTTTTTTTTTTTTATCCATTGTGTCTTGTCAACCCGGCCCTCTCCCCTCCCGCTGCTCCCCATTTCCTACAGAACGACCTGCAGCAATACCATTGACCTGCCGATGTCCCCCCGCACTTTAGATTCATTGATGCAGTTTGGAAATAATGGTGAAGGTGCTGAACCCTCAGCAGGAGGGCAGTTTGGTGAGTATTTGGAGGGGAGTTGGTCCCCCTTGTGTGATGTCCCGTGTGCGGAGCCAGGAGCTGGTCACATGGACTGTAGAAGGGGCTCTAGAGCGGCGTTCTCCAGCAGAAATGGGCCACACCACATGTGTAAGTGTAAATTTCCCAGTAGCCACATTAGAAACAGGGAAAAGAAACAGGTGAGGTTAATTTTAATATTTTCTATTTAGCCCAATAAGTCCAAAATACTATTATTTCAACATGTAAGAGAAAATGAGTGAGGTATGTTTTTTTTGTTTGTTTTTTCAAATATGTTTTTATTGATTTCAGAGAGAGGAAGGGAGAGGGAGAAAGAGAGAGAAACATCAATGATGAGAGAGAATCATCAATGGGCTGCCTCCTGCACACTCCCTACTGGGGATCGAGCCAGAAACCTGGGAATGTGCCCTGACCTCACCGGGAATCGAACCGTGACCTCCAGGTTCATGGGTCGACGCTCAACCACTGAACCACACCAGCCAGGCATGAGTGAGATTTTTTGCACTGAGTCTTTGAAATCTGCTGGGTGTTTTGCAGCTACAGCTCCTCTCACTTTAGACTAACCACCTGTGGCTCCAGGCTGCCACAGGGCAGCCCTAGATCTTTAAACACATAGAGTTGGGAATGAGTTAAGGTAGGAAGGGGACTGTACCCTTCCAGAGGGCAAGACCCTGTAGGGAGGAGAGTGAATCTGGGTTATCCAACCCTGTCTTGGCCATAAGGGGCAGGAGACTGGGTGGCAGAGGTGGCCTGAGCCTCTGTCCCCTGAAGGGTTAGGGGTGTGAGCCCTGCCAGCTGAAGGGCTCAGGTGACTGACCAACTCTCCCTGTCTGTCCCTCCAGAGTCCCTCACATTCGACATGGAGCTGACCTCAGAGTGCGCTACCTCCCCAATGTGAGGCGCCAAGGACCGAAGCTGCGGAGAGAGATGATGGAGGCACCTATTTGTGTTCCACCACCCCCTAAACAGCCAAACCCCAGAGCATCTGAACTCCTAACTCTGTGGTTCCAGATTTGTTTTTATCTCCTACTTCTGCTATCTTTGAGCAATCTGGGCACTTTTTTCAAATAGAGAAATGAATGAATGTGGGCGACATGCTTTTATCTAAATGCAAATAAGAAAGCGTTCTCTGAGACTATGATCAGGGGATGTGGAAGGGGTGGCAAGAGGGAAAAAAAGGAAATGTGTGTTTTTGCTCCCCTGCCCTCCTGTCTCAGCAGCTTGTTGTTAGACAAGTGCCTCCTGGTGCCAGCAGCATCCCTCTGCCTATTTCTGTAAGCTAATGCCACAGGCTGCCTCTAGCTGCATACCCCTGGCATTGCACTTTTAACCTTGCTAACATCCAAATAAAAGATAGGACTTTCAGAGCCCCTAGATTTCTTTTTAAATTAAAAAATAATAATAATAATTAAAGGGCAAAAACACTGTATCAGCATAGCCTTCTTCTGTATTTAAGAAAACTCAGTTCATAGCCTCCTTGGTGCTTTAGGCGTTCAGCTTTCTTCAGGCTGATACTTTATATAAACCCTGAAACGGGCTTCAGATCCAGCCCTTAAAAGACATCTGGAGCTGTGGCTTGGTTTTGAAATAGGAAAGTTGAAGGAGAATCTAAACATTCTAGACTTCTTTTTATAAGCAGAGTTTTTATTTTCCCTTCTATGTATTGGCCGTTAGTAGGTGAGGCTGGCAGAGGGGTGCTTATAACCTGTCCTCCCTTTCCTCTTGGACTTGCGCTCCTGTTTCAGAGCCTGGGTGGTTCTGTGGGTGCCTTAAAAGAAATGGGATGATTCTCTCTCCTCCCCCCCGTCCACCTGACCCCTCTTGTGGCCTGGCTCCTTGCAGCGTCCAAAGGTCCCTTGTCCTGTTTACTTTAGGACTCCTGGTCTCAGGACCTCCTGGAGTAAGGAGGAGAGAGTCACAAGTTGAACATTACTCAGAGTGTGGGGCCCCAACCAAGGGTCTGGTTGAGCTCAGGGAAGGTGGTTCTTATCCAGTTTCTCGGTGATTGCCCACTGCACCTGTAATGACTTGGCTAACCCAGGGACAAAGGCTTACTGATAAACTGTCCCTGTACGAGGGAGTTTGCACCCAGCCTCCCCCTAACACTGGTGACTCTCTCCTTCCCATTGAGGCCCCACAGATGAGGCAGGACAGGGCGAATCTAATGTGTACTTTGGAACCTTAGGAGCATGAGAGGTGGTCTTTGGTATTGGGGCCTCCTCTGGCCCAGAGGCATGGCTCCAGCGGGTGGTCCAAAACCACCTAGTCGGGCTGACCAGAGTTTCTATGGAATGCTGTTTGTTATACCCCAATTAGCCAGCTTCTGAATTAAGGGGATGAGGACCTTCTCTCCAAGACGAACGGGTGCCCTTGGCCACCCCTGTCCTTCTGCCTAGAAATGGTTGACAGGTTGTACAGAGCTCTCCCTTCTCAGCAACACTCTTGTTCATATAATAAGCTTGACTCATAAAATGAGAGAAGATTTAGATCAGAGGACCTGGGGCGAGGATCCGGACTCCTCTGGAGCAGACACTGTAAAGTTCAGGGCTTTGAGGCAGCATTTGTATCTGGGCTTAACCATGATTGTAGCAAAGTTCTGAGAGGAGCCCAGACTTGGTCTGGCCACTCCCTTAAAGAACCGAGTCCTCCAGGACCTGCCCGCTTTCTCTCCACTGTCTGCCCCCGCCCGACCCCAGCCCGGCCGAGGGGTTCCCATCCATCGCTTAACCTACTTCTACAGTGGTTTTAAGCTGCTGTCCTGGCCACTGCATCAAATTCCAATGTATACTTCATAGTGTAAAAATTTATATTATTGTGGGGTTTTGTTTTGTTTTTTGTATATTGCTGTACCTACTTTAACTTCCAAAAATAAAAATATATAGGATCTGTCTGATAGTGTGGCAGCTCTGTCTCTGGCTGGTGGGGGTTCCCCTTTCCCTGCTTCAGTTCTGAGGGGGCCTTATACACAGGTTGAGCCTGAGTCTGGAGAGGGGGTGGTGGCCCCTGCTCTTGGCCTGGATACCTTGGCTTCTTATTCCTGAGTTGACCCAGGCCCACTTCTGGGGCACCGAGCAACCCTCCCCAACTTGTGTTAATAAGGGGTCACACGAGGAGCCAGGGGTGATACTCCTTCACACAAAGGTGTCAGAGTGGAGGCCTCCCCTCTCTCTTCCTTCCTCTCTCCCTCCAGGGGCCTTTGCAACCTTGGGCCTCCTGTCTGGGGTCTGATAAGCTACCTAGGGGGGTTGGGACAGAGATACTCCCACCCCACCCCCAAGGCCTCCCCTTACACAGTTGTTCCATTATCACTTTCTCTTCATTCACTCAGTGGGGTCGAACTAAACACCTAACTGGCTGCTTCTCTGCTCGGCAGTCAGTGGTGATAATTCACAGACATGGGCGCCCACTCGGCACTCCCACCCCCTCCCCTTGTGTCGAGTCCCACGGAGCCTATCTGAGCAGGAGTATGAGATATGAGCCTCCTTCCCCTGCAGAGATGGAAACGAGATTACTTTGCTCAGGCGGGGCTGGCGGCTGCTTCCCTCACCACCCACCCCCAGCACCCTGCTCTGGGCCCCTGCACCTCCTGGGGCTGGCTGCCAGCCCCTCTTCCCTTGCTTTGAGCTCTGAAGAAATCTCGTCAACAGAGCCTTGCTCCCTCCTTCCCCTGAGGGCCCCAGTGACAGTCCTTGGACCTTGGGGAGACCATCCTCCCCTGCTCTCTGACCAGCCTCCCTCCTGATCTCACACCAGCCATTTGAGAGAACATAGTGGCAGTGGGATGGTGCCACCTGCTGGTCTCTGGGCAGAGGGACTGTTGTGAGTCTCCCCAGTGACCCTGGCCCCAGAAGGTTTTGAGAGTGATCTTGGCCCTGGCCCTCAGCTGCCAGCTGCAGGATTGCTCATAGCAGCAGCCACAGTTCTTCCCACTCCTCGTGCTCCCTTCCCCCCATAATTCCTGCCCATCTTTTCCCAAGACCTTGAGTCTAGCTCTTTAGTCTTCTGAGAAGCACTGACAGTGTTCCAGTGTGGTCAGCACCCTTAAAACACAGGAAAGGAGCATAGTCGTAGCTTCAGGCTACACATTACAGTGCCAGCCACATTGGACGGAAGGAATGAAACGCCACCAGCTCCCAGGGCTCCCCAACCAGGAGCCACACCAGCAGTTTTATGAAAAAAATATTTTATTCAAAAACACTTTTCCAAACGTGTGGCCTATGTACAGAGTACAAAAGACTCCATCTCATTCCCATCTGCCTTCAGAGAGTTTTAAACCTGGGGCTCCTGATATCCCACGGTCAGCTTCTCTTGGCCGCAGGCCAGATAGCCGCAGAGGGCGGAGCAAGTGAGGTTGGGAGCCAGGCCTTCTCAGACCACAGCCAGTTATGCAACTGTGATGAGGCCTCTTCCAGGTCCCACCTCCCAGCAGAGTGGAAGCAGAGATCAGCTTTCACCCCTCACTCCAGATCCCACAGGCATGCAGCAAGAGGCTAATTTGCTCCTATTTCTTGATTCAGGTTTTTTTCCAGGATTGGAGGGGGTCCCCTGTTTATCCCTGCAAATCCTGGGTCCACCATGTCCTAGACCCATCTTTCCCTCTCCTACCTCTCCTGTAAGCAACAGAGGCAAGGAAAGAAAGCTGGGGCCTAATGGAGGGGAAGGGAGGGGATATTGGGTAGGAAGTAGCTGGAACTTGGGCAATGGCGTCACGCTCCAGACGGGAGGCCCAAAGGCCAAGAAATGACACACTCAGAGCAGCTTTGACAGGCCTGACTTAAATGACCCCCATTTCTGCTGTGTTAGGGACATGGCCAAGACCTAGATAAGCTCTCAGTTCACAAATAGTCTGGAGTCTATATTCATTAGATAAAGTATAAAATATTGTTCAAAATTGAACCCCAACCTCCCTCCTGAGGGAAGAAGTAATAGACCAACACATGTGCATGAGAAAAGATGCACATATATGCACATGTGCACACACAAACACACATACACTTGGGAGGCGAAGCTTCTAAGTCAGGAGTAAAGCTTAGAGACGCTGCCTGTCTCTAGATCCTTCCTGAAGAGTTTCACCCAGATGGCTCTGAGCAGATGAAGGCCCTGACAGCTATAGGTTTGCCTGCACTGAGTGAGTACCTGACACAACAGAAGCAGCGCAGTCTCTTCCACAACAGAGACAGGCCCAGGGGGCTCTTGGGATACCCTGATCTAAAGAAAAAGGCAGCTGCCACTGTTGCAGCCACACGCCCAGGACTGCGAAGGCAAGGCGGGCACACCTCGCACACAAATACACACACGTATGCACGCGTACATGTGCTGCCTGCAAACACACCAATATGCGCAGCAACACTAAAACCACAATTAACATGAACCCTTCACATGAGTATGTTTCCAAAAAGAAGCCTGGGATTCAAACATTCAGGAGAGCGAGCCTCTGGCAGAGGTGAAGAGCCCCGTAGGCGGGGACAGGCGGGGGTCCAGACTGTCAATCGGGCGGCGCAGGAGTTCCTCCACGTGCCTGGCTACGTCCATGGACTCATCCAGGTCAAAGTCTCCATCCTGGTCAAGGGCGGGGTCAGGACTGGTAGAGAGACGGGGATGTCAGAGGGAGCTGGCCTGCCTCACTGCCCCAAGCTCCAGGGGGCAGCCCCTGGCCTGCTGCTCACTCAGACCAGGGTATCAAGGAACAAGACCAGCTCTGGCCAGGCCCCTGCTCCCCAGACTGAATTAGTCACTGGCTCTTTGGGAGGCACCCCAGTCTCATCTCTCACGGCCTCACTGAGTGATAGCAGGGAATTCATTGTCCTCTCCTTGTCCTTGTCTGTAAAAGGAGGTGGTTGGGCCAATGAGCTCTGCCCACCTGTGGCACCATTCACTGAGCACCTACGATGACCTGGGCCTTGTGACCACGCCACTCCAATCCTTCCAGCCGCCTGCAAGGTAGGCGTTCACTCTACTTCACAGGGGAGGAAATGAGGCTCGACCATGTTCGGACTCTTGCTCAGGGCCACCTGGCTGGCAACCCCCAGGCCTGTGGTAGTCTCACGACAGCTTGAGCCTCCCAGGCAACCAGACATCCAGCCCAGGCCACCCTCAGCTCAGAAGAGAATTAATTCTCTACCCTGGTAACTCCAGAGAGGAACCATGATACCCTGTTCCCACCCAGCTCTTAAGGACAAGCACCCCGTTCATAGCTATCCTGTGTGAAACCTAAAACAGCCTCCCTGTGCTGAGTGCTTGACCCACACTCTCATTTAGTCCTGACCCCAACCCCATGAGGCAGGTATTCTCGCTTCCATTTTACAGATGAGAAAACTGAGCATCAGAGAGGCTCAATAATTTTCCCAAGGTCACACAGCTAGTTAGCACCAAAGCAAGGACCCTGCTATGTGTAGTTTCAAAATGCTCTGTGCTTTTTACCGGTTGATCTCACCCTCCCTGCATGTGGGCACATGCCAGAGCCCAGCCTCAGCTGGGTGGTCTCAGACCTGGAGGAGCTCGGGATTCCTTGACCCACCAGCCCTCCAGGGGTCCCGCCCAAGGCCAAGTCCCCAGCCCCCCCCCCCAATGAAGCCCCATAAGAACACAACCTACTTCTGTGGGTACATGTTGTAATGAGTCGGGGGGCACACAACAGGGGAGGGGGCCTGGTCCATGTAGGTGGCACTGCCCCCAGCAGCGTCTGCAGATGTCACAAACCTGGAGGAGGAAGCAGAGCAGAGCCTCAGCAGCCTCAGGGCAGCAGCTGACTTGGGGAGGGGCTCAGGGGGCATCTTTATGCCTTTTTTAAGTAGAAGGACAAAGTGCCCACTGGGTGTGGGGCTCCAGCTGCAGGAGTGGGGCCCTGGGTACTGGCCCCATGGTGACCACACCCAGTTCCCTCCCCAGGGCTGAGTCAGGTTTTAGGGGGAAGGGAGCGCTGGGCATGTTAATGGAAGAGGGGGTGACCCTGAGGACAGCCAGGGGAGAAGAGGGGCAGCAGGAGACCAGAGCTGGACCCTGGACACTTACTCAGGGACCACTTGCTTGATCTGCGGCTTCACGTATCCGTCCCCTGCTTTAGCTGCCGAGGGGGGAACTGTGATAAGAACCAAAGTTTCTGGGAGCTCGCCAGGGGGTGGAAACCCACCCTGTGGAGTCTGCCTCCCATCCAAGCCCCGGGGGCCTCAGCAAGGATGAGATTTCCCACAGACCCTGACTGAACACCTGCTGATGGACCAGCCTGAGGGCCACGCAGACTCTCGCTTCAATCTCATCCCTTCTGCGGCTTCCTTTCCTGGCCCTTTGCTTTCTCTCTCCCCGCCCCCACCCCTGCCAAGGAAACAGAATCAACACGGAGGCGCAAACGCAACCAGTGGGTTGGGGACAGGTTGAGGAGGAAAAACCTGTCCTCCGTGCTTCCTACACTCCACCTGGAGGCGGGATTGGGGCGGGGAAGCCTCTGCGGGGGTGAAGAAGTGGTTATCTGTGGGTTTGAGCTCCCCGGCTCCTCCCCAGCGCCGCAGCCTCTTCCAAGGGTGCAGAAGTGAGAGTCTACTCAGCTTTTCTCTTTGCAGAGAAGACTCAGGGGTTTCGCTTCCCCTCTCCTTACTTGTGAGCCCTGAAATCCTCTCCACATGGCTTTGCACCATCCCATGACCAGAGCCCACGAGGGGAATAGTCCCTGGGCTCTTCCTGGGGAGTCCCCGCTGCCTAGCCCGCGTGTGCGCCCCTGGGCTGAGGAGGGCTGGGGAGGCCAGGGCGGGACACACCGAGCACAGGAGTGTAGTACTTGGAGAAGACCTCATCCTTGGGCCGGTCGGGAAACACGTAGATGAGATAGCTCAGGTCGCCCAGGCGGTCGGCCAGGGACCGGATGGAGAAATCCCGCGTGGTAAAAGGCTTCAGGTTCCACAGGTTGCGGTCAGCTGTGAAATGGACAAGCTCGTTCCCACAGCCCACCGCCATCAGGGGGACTGGGGGTGTGGGGATTCAGGGCAGGCTTGGGGAGACATCTGGGCCTTTAGTAGCTTGTATTGCACCCCTGTCCCTGTGTTCCCCGGCTCAGGGCAGGGAAACGTCCGTGGGGACATTCTACCCAGCAAACCAGGAGAGTAGATGCCAACAAGGCTGGGTCAGGGCAGAGAAGGGACAGCGTGGCACTGCTGAAGGACTCACCCAGCGGTCCCGGAGCCTAGGGGGCTATGACTTTAGGCTCTCCAAAGTGGAAAGTGATAGAAAGGGAAGGTGCTTCCTCCCAGACTCTGAGTTCGGTTCCTATCTTTCCCACCAGGTACCATCTAAGGGTGCAGGCCTGGCGGAGAATGGGGAGCTGGAAAATTGAGGCTGGAGTGTGGACAAAATAGGGCACTCACGAGAGTCAAATTTCCAGGCGATGGTGATGCCCCCGATTTCTGAGTCACTAAAGCGCAATAAGAAGGTCCCATCGGGCTTGTTGATGAGCAGGTCATGGGCCTGTTGCTTATTCACAAAACCTAGGATGGCCCTGGGGTGCGTGGAGCATAGCGTCACTGCTGGGCCGGCAGCCACGGTCCCCTGAGCCCAGGCCCTCCCAGCCCCCATGCCCGCCATTCCTTACCCGTCATTCCAGTGGGGCTTGTGATGCTTCTTCAGCACCTCCATGACCCCGTCAAACCACTGCCAGAAGGTATAGTTCCAGCCTGGCAAGTTCTCCTGAGAACCCCCAGAAACCCCAAGTCAGGGCTTGTGCCCCTGTCATCACAGGTGGTCCAGGGCACAGTCAGCGCCCTCTTGTCCTCACCTAGACCCTCCCCAATTCTTCACTCTACTTGTCTCACACTCTGGCGTCCATAAACTGACATGGTCCCCAACCCCTATGCTAGGGAACTGGAGAGTCAACTCGCCTCTGGTCTTTGAGACACAGAGGTCCAAGACAATCCCACGGGGAGGAGGGGGGCTGTACAACAGTCATTCCTGCCCAACCCCTTCATCTCACAGATGGGGAAACTGAGGCACAGAGAAGGGAAGGGGCCTGGCAAATTAGTTAACAGGGTTAGGACCAGAACCCAAGGATCCTGACTCAGGTCCAGGTTCCTTCTTGTGGTCCTGCTTCGGCTGTCACTGCTGACTGCATTGCCTAGGGTACCAGCGCCCCCACCTCTCCTGCTTGACCTCAGGCAGCACCCTCTCTGTGAGGTGGGGGAGGGGTGGCAGGGCCCAGGTGGTCCCAGGCAGGCAGCCGGCGGCGGGTCCCTCACCCTGTTGAACTGGGACCAGGACACGGACATGCTGTTGTAGTCCTCGAGGTGGCTGCTGCTGCTGTTGAACAGTTTCTGTGCCAGGAACAGGAGGTTCTCCTTGGTCAGGCCCCGGTTGCTCTGCACTTCGGCCTTGAATTTCATGTTGAGCGCTTCACACAGCTGCGGCCATAGCACTTTGTCAGGCACGGCAAACGGCACCCTGCCCTGGGAGGGAGAGAAGAAAGCGGGGGACAGGCAGATTGAGGGAGTAGGAAATACTGACACGCTAACAGACACACAGATACCTAGGGACAGGCGGGACTGAGAAAGATCCAGAAAAGGAGACAAACACAAAGGAAAGAAAGGTGGGGTGGCAGGGGCAGAGGGGTGGCTGTGCAGGATAGAGTCCAGACCAGGGGACTAAGGACAGAGATCAAACTACAAGCCTAAGGAAGACCAGGGACCAGATCCCAAAGACCAAGCTCACAGACCGGGAGACCCTGGTCCTCAGACAGGAGCCTGGACAGAGCCCGAGGATATGCCAAGGGCAGGGCACTCACACCAGCTGCCCGTCTCGCCTCACCTCACTCTGGTCTGGTCCTGGGTTGGGGGAGGACCACTCAGCAGGGGCCCTGAGGGGTTGAGAATGACCCTGGGAGATCTGAGGACCTGGAGGTGAGGAGCCCAGGGGGACTCACCGGCTCAGCAAAGGCATTGTCCCACAGCACAGTGGCGGTAGCATTGTGGTCCTGGCTGCCGTGAACGATGACAACCACAGGAAGGGACAGGGTCTAGGGTAGTCAAAAGGATGAGAGCTGAGGGCATACGACCACCATCCTGCCCTCGGCCTGGGCAAGACTCCCAGCCCTCATTACTTACCCGCAGTCCCAGCCACAAGCCCCTCCCAACAAAACCAAAGCAACAACAAACAAAAAACACAACATCTTTCTTCTTGGCCCATTGCCTAAGTTCTGTGGGCTGGTGCCAGATTATAATAGAACCTCGAAAACAGGCACCAGCAGAGTGAAAGTAGGTTTGCTGATAGCATCACAGGGCAACTTGTCCGAGGCCATGTGAGAAAGGGTGCAGAGCTCTCTGGCTTTCCCAAACCAGCCCGGTGGCCTCGGGCATATCCCTTCGCTTTTCTGGGTAACCTTCGGGGGATGGGAATACGTGGCCTCACCTTCACCTGAAACACAAGTTCATTGCTGCCTACGCTGAACTGCGACTCAAACAGGACCGTGAACTTCTCCTCCGTTACGGACTCCGCGCCTCGCCGGTCGGCACGCTTGATTCTCTTTAGCGACTGTAGGGTAGGGTCAGAGGGGGACAGGGAGGCAGGAGCCGGTTACAAGGACTGAGCTCTGGGCAGGCCTTCCCTCCCAGAGCCAGGCCCTGTCCTCACCATGTTTCTGAAGTGGGCGCTGAGGGTGCCAGTGGCTTGGTGATACTCCATGACACAGCAGTTGTTCAAGATCTCTCCACTGCACTCGCTGTGGAAGAGAGGGGAGCCCCATCTCCACACAGGCCCAGGCCAGGAGCACCGTCCTGTCTGCTGACCGGGGCCGGCAGCCTCTGCCCCATCCCCTAAGAACATTCCTCGGTGTGTCTCTGGCCTTACTTTCTCATCAACTTGAGAGTACCCAAGCCAAGTCTTCAAGGGTGGGGTTTGGGTCTCTATTAGGTTCAAAATACCTTGGGCATCAAGATTGATGGGAGGGCCTTTAGGGCCCTCCAGCAGCTTCTAGTGAACTTGAAATGAAAATCATGGCCACAGCCTACAAGGATCCCCAGGATCCCCCCTGCCCACCTCCCTGGCCTCACTAGGTTCCTCTTCCCTCACTCAGGACAAGCCAGCCAGGCTGCCTTGTCTGTTTGCTGAACACGCAAGCGTGGTGCCAACCTCAGGACTTTTTGCACTCGCTCTTCCTGTTGCCTCAAACATTCTTGACCTTCTCCTTCAGGTCTCAAGTCAAATATCTTTCCAGAAAGGCCTTCCTCAACCACCCATGTGGTGTTGAAACGTCTATCCAGATGCTGTGATAATCGCTCTGTTTTAATTTTCTTTCTACGGCTTATCACTTTTGGACACTGCCTTATTTTCAAAAGTTTATATGACTGTCTCCCTCCCCAGCCAAAACTGAGATCTAAGAAGGTGAGGATCTCTCCTCATCATCCTATCCCCAGATCACATGGTGGACACGACCAAGTCTCCCACTTCACACATTCACTCATTCATTCATTCATTCATTCATTCATTCATTCATTCATTCATTCACTGCACTTTATTGGTGGCCTGCCCTGACCCTGGGACCCCAGCCCTGGGTTCTCCTTCCACACATGCACCTTCAGGACAAGGGCCATGGTCTCTCTGCCTGGAAGTCTTCCCTCTTCATGCTTTCACTAGCTCCTTCCCATTCATCCTGCAGCCTGAGACTGTCATTCTGCTCCACCCACATCCTGACCCACTTCCATATGTCTCCCTTGTCACACACCAGTAATCTTTACTCATGTCTGCTGCCTGTTCTGCTAGTCAAGCACAGCCTAGTTCTGTCTGGATTACACTGTGTCCCCGTACTTAGCACAGATCCTAGAACACCCCAGCAGTGCAATCCTTGTTGACCTACTACTTCCTGGGCACAGCAGGGACTGGAAAAGTGAAGTGTACACCAGGACAGAGAGAATGACCTGGAGAGGCACTGGATCGCATCTGCAATACCAGGACAAAATACTACAGAGAGGGAGGCTGAGCTGTCCCATCACTAGGACTCCAAGTGTAGGACAGAGAAGGTCCCAGGCTGAGCTTGGAGAGAGGCACATGAGAGGAAGGACACACGTACTTGCGGGTGTTCTCATTCTTGAGCAGTGACTTGGCCTGCTGCTCACTGATGATGGTGGCCTTCACCTGGGGGGGGTTCATGTGCACGTTCAGCTTCCCACCCACCAGCAGGCGCACGGTGGCTGCAAACTTGGTCTGGGTCTTCAGGACCTGAGGGGGCTGCTTCTCAATGATGAACGTGCTGCAGGGACACAAGTGACGAGATGCTGCCTCAGGGGACAGGGGACAGGGCATCCTCCATGTGGGGAGGATGCCTCGCACAGGGCTCAGCAGGCAGAGGGAGAGCACATGGTGGAGACCTGTTCCCAGGACGGCCACTGAGAGTTGAGGGGACGGTGGGAGGGTGGCAGTGAAATGAACTTGGCAGCTGGCACAGGTGGCCCATGGAGCGTTCACAAGAGAAACTGGGAAAGGTCAACACCAAGCAGCCACAGCAACTGGGGACAGAGGGGATGGGCGGTGGGGTAGAGAGAGGATTCAAGCACCCCCTGCCTCTCCCATGCCAACTACAGGGGGGCTGGGTGTGGCCAAGAGGCTGCAATCACCTGGTCACCAGGGCTGAGATGATGTCAGTGATGGTGGCATTGACCTCAGCCAGCATCTCCTCCACTGGGCCGGGGATGGGCAGCTGCTGGCAGAGGTGCTCAGCTCTGCGGATCTGCTGCCGGTTCTGCCAGATGATCTCGGCCAGCTTCTCACACCTGCGCATGAGCCCCGAGGCCAAAGGGAAGGACACCAGCTTCACCCCATCCCCCAGGCCAGAGGTGAAAAGGCTCCCAGCCTGGGGAGAGCCCCCCAAGACCCAGCTCCACCCTCACTCAGGAAGGCTTTTCACTTTAGCCACCACTCCTGTCCACGGAGCAGAGCAGAGCTGCCCTGCCTTCCAGAAACACAGGCACACAAAGGAGGCGGGACCCCGATTTGGACCCCACCAGCCGGAGCTTCACTCTGCACATGCCTTGCCCCACCCCCAACACAGAGGCTTCCTTCTCAGGGAAGGGGCAGGACTGGGGCACAAAGTCTGTGTCAGGAACCAGAACCACTGGGGAAATAAGACCTGTCACAGGACAGAGCAAGTGGCTGCATATGGAAACACAGGAGCAGAATAAGCAGCTGGTAGCACCGCCCTGAGCCCCTGCCCACCCG